AAACAAGTGTCCTCTGGATCTGAGGTCAAGAGAAGCTATGATTTCTAGCCAAGGGAGCCAAGAGTATTGGCCAAAGTTACCGCTCTCCCTTGTTCATCCTTTCAAGAGGTGGCTGTTTCACTGGATGATGTTATGAATAAATGAGTAGGAAAGCAAAATAATTCCTTAAAAGGTTGCCAAATGGAATAGTTGAGAAGAATCTAAAAGTAATATGGGGGATTCTAGAATATGTTCTTTATGAGAGGGAAATTATAGATGGCTTCTAATTGTAAGAATAGAATAGAATAACAGAGTTGGAAGGGACCTTGGAGGTTTTCTAGTCCAACCCCCTGCTTAGGCAAGAAGCCCAATACCACTTCAGACAAATGGTTGTCCAATCTCTTCTTAAAAACTTCCAGTGTTGGAGCATCCACAAGCTCTGGAGGCAAATTGTTCCACCGATTAATTGTTCCAACTGTCAGGAAATTTCTCCTTATTTCTAAGTTGCTTCTCTCCTTTAATTGTTGGATTGGTAGAGTTTGTTTATTTATAAAATTCATTTGCTGCCCCATCTCGTACCTAACAATTCTGGGCAGCTTACAACACAGAAAGCTTACAACATAGATTTGAGAGCACCAGAACAATCTGATGAGGCCTAAGCAACGATGGACTATAACCATGTGGGACATCACTATTAGGGAAGGCTATTCTAGAGGAAAAACAGGCTCTCAGGGCAAGATTCCTGGGGTAGGTGTGGTGTAACTAGACGGAGGACCAACCACAGGAAAGCAATGACTTCACACAAGAGTCTTGCAGAAGATCACAAGTTACTTGTCTTCTACCGTTAAAGTAGTGTTTCTCAACCTGGCCAACTTTAAGCTGGGTTCATTTCAACTCTCAGAATTCCCCAGCCCAATACCTTGGCTGGGGAATTTGGGGAGTTGGAATCCCACACACCTTAAAAAGTTGCCAAGGTTGAGAAACACTGAAGAATACAAGAACTACGGGAGCAGTAGACCCAGGATTGGGTACAGGTGTCCAAGCTTGAAGGGCAGAAGGTGAAGGGGGAGGCAGATATGGGGCTTTAGGAAAAGAATTTATGTCCACACTATTCACGGAAGACTCTTTAAAAAGCTGCTCTCAGAATTGTGGCTTAAAGTAGCTTGTAAGGTAGAGAAGAACCTCCCCCTAAAAAAGGGGTTTAAAACCTGAACGGACAGTTATGTGCGAAAGGGACTTCTGACCTAAAACACTGCTTTGCCGCTTTATCCAAGGTGGGTCACAAACATCTTATTCCCTCCAGACCAGCTATTCTCCCCCACCCACCCACCCACCCAGGTGCTCTCCAGAGGCACAGGACTACAAAACCAATCCCACCAAGCCAGCATTCCTGTGGATCAGGCCAGCTGCAGCCCTGAAAGCCAGAGGAGAGACGCCTTGCTGGGAGCAGACTGGAGTTTGGAAAGGAAAACTGAAAGAAGCCCCCCTCTCCCCCCCCCCACCCCAAGGCCCCTTTCCAGAAACTTTGGCACTGGGGGGAAGGGGAAGTTAGTGGGGGAAAGCCACCCCCCCACCCCCCAAGCTGGTGTCCCGCAAGCAGGCTGCACTACAACTCCCATGCTTCTCTCCCTTTCTTATGAAGAGGCCCGGGAGTGGGTGGGTGGGTGTTGAGGCCGCCGAAACGACCCTCTGGGCCGGCTGGGGACGATGGGAAAGGCTCCTCAGCGCTTCTGAAGGCGACGCCGGCTGGAAGGGAAGCCCGGCGGGTCGGGGAGGCGGCTCCGAGCGCGCCATGAATCCGGGGAGTCGCCGGAGCTTTTGGGAAAGGGTCTGAGGAGAGCCCAGCGCGGGCCTGAAGGGAGTCGGGGAGGGCGGCGGCGGCGGCGGCAGGCCCGGGGGCAGCAGCGGGGTCCAGCCCCGGCTGAGGGGAGCGCGTCGGCCGGGACGGGGACGGGGACGGGGACGGGGCGGCTCCTCGGCGCCTCTGACAGGCCGGGGCGGGGCCGGCGGGCGAGGCAGGTGCGGCCCTACCTGCCGTAGATGCCCTCCGTGATGCGGTTCCGCTTCAGCGGCCGCCGGAGTTTGCTGCAGTCGGCGCTCCGGCGCTTCATCCTCCCGCCCGGCTCGGGGGGGGTCCCAACCTGGCCTGCTGGCGGCGGCGGCTGCTCCTCCTGCCCCGCCCGGGTCACGGCGACAACATCCGAGCGCGTCGGTCCGCGCGGAGGCCCGGAAAGTCTCCCGCTCCCGTTTGGCGCTCCGGCGCACTGTCTCCCCGCCCCTTCCTCCCTCCCCTCTTTTTCCCCTCTCGGAAACAAAGAAATAAAAAATAATTTCAGATCCGTCCCTCCCCGCCGCCGCGGCCCCGCGCGCAGGCTCCACGCCTCGCCCCGCCTCCTTTCAAGCCCAGGCCAATCCGCTGCGGGCTAAACATGAGGGCGATGCTGGGAAGAATCAATCAGCGCGGGGCGAGGGAGAAGAGAGACGGGCGAGCTGGCCAATCAAGCGGAGCGGCAGAGACCCGACCGTCCTTTCCTAAGATAACAAGGACCGCCCAGTCGCGCGAACCACCGGCCTTAAAGTCCGTGACAGAAAGGATTGAATCCTGGGGCGGAGTTAGAGTAGAGGGGCGGGGCAGTCTCAATATTTCCCAATGGGAGAGAAAGAAAGGTGGTTTCCCCCCCCCTTCTCTTTGATCTCAACCTTTGGTTTGGGATTAGGGTACGGCCCTCTACGATTAATTGACGTAAATGCTGACCAATAAACTCCTCCCGTCATCCGTGGCCCGAAGATAAGAAGAGGCAAAGAATAACGCTCCCGCTACTTTCTAAAACAGGCTCGCGGACGGATCCGCCCACTTACAAAAGTGATGATGTATTGAGCCAATAAAAATGGCGCTCGATAGAAAGGGCACTGAAGACCACCAATAGAGTTCTGGGCTAAGTGGGACTAGGCTAATAACCGTGCAAAGTGCCCTGGGAAATCGAGTCTTGGCCAATGGGGGTGAGAGTTCCCCCTCTGTAGCCTTTTGTTAAGGTGGCTGGACATGGTAAACTGAAGGAGGTTTGCTTACCTCTCAGATTTTGCCATTCCTTTGGTGTTCACATAATTATATTCCTCTTTTTCAAAATACGCATTTATCTTCCCTCATCCTGGACTATTTATTGGGAACTAAGTTGGATCAGGTTTGAGAGAAGGAGTTCTCTTGGTGTAAACGTATTTGTTACTCAGACGCTTACTCCTGGGGGAAAAAAGTTTATCTGCTTGTGGGGTTTACTTCTGAGTCAACCTTTATAGGATTGGGATGGAGTTAAGAAAAATACACTGGCTATGAAAAAGCAAGGCATTGTTTTGCAATTTACAGCTAAATAAATAAAGTGGCTTATGAAATATACTGCAGAAACAGTCCAATAAACCAACATAGAAAGGGGCTTGTGGGAGGCTGAAAGATTTCAAAGGAAGAAACTCAAACTAGAGTTCCAAATTAGAGTTCCACGGACTGGTTGCTCATGCAGAAAAGGACAGAATGGCTTTTCCCTGATGCTGCAACCCAAAGCTACAAGTAAGCATGGTGAGAATGTTACTCTGAGCCTACTCCATCATGAAAGAGTAAAATATGAGTGTAATCTATGAGGAAACCCCCATATAGGAGGACATAACAGATGTAAACTGATTATCATCACTGAAAGAATTAACTTTGCAGAAACTGAGTATGAAAAAGACTTGTAGTCAATAATAAAGGTTTTTGATCCAAGGAAGATGAACTGTATGATTTTCTGCAATGATGTCTTTCATCGTGTGGATTTTTTTCCCCTTGGCTACTGCTACCATTCCACTGGCTTTATTTTAGATTGCTTTGAAGCCTGTCAACAAAGCTCGTTCAAGAGCCAAGTAAAGGCTAGTTAAAAGAAGGGCAGAATCTGGAGAATGCCCTTAAGTTGAAAAATGCACTACAGGTGATCATTTGCAGTTACAATGTTGATGAAAAAGTAACCTTGGGACCAATCTTCATGTTTATACCTTGCAAGTCTGTAAAGCAAAATAAAGCCAAAATAGCACTATGAGCACAGTTGTGGTTTTGTATAATGACTTATTTGCTTAACAACCAGCTTGCCAACCTTAAGTGGTCACTAAGCGACTATCTGTAACTAGAATTTATGCAAGTCCATAGTAATTTGTTATGATTGGCTCATACCACTTGCATAGGTAGTCCTCAACTTACAACCACAATTGAGCCCAAAATTTCTGTTGCTAAGCGAGATATTTGTCAAGTGAGTTTTACCCCATTTTACAACCTTGCTTGTCTCAGTTGTTAAGTGAATCACTGCAGTTGATGTTAGTAACCCGGTTGTTAAGTGAATCTAGCTTCCCCATTGACTTTGCTTGTCAGAAGGTCACAAAAGGGGATCACTTGACCCCGAGACACTGCAACCATCGTAAACATGAACCAGTTGCCAAACATCTGAATTTTGATCACATGATCAAAAAGTCATAACTGTGAAAACCAGTCATGTCACTTTTTTCAGTGCTGTTACAGCTTTGAACGGTCACTAAATGCACTGTTGTAAGTCAAGGACTATCTGTATGTCGGTTGGAAAAAGAAAACTATCCATAGCTACTTGCTGAGTTCTTCTTGGTTAGATGAGACCTGCTTAAACGCACATAAATTTGGAACTTTGCTGTTGTTCCTGGGAGGAATTAGCCAGGAACACGCAATTGCAACATGGTCCTGCTTGTCTCCTCTGAGTTCAAATAAGTGCACCTTATGTCAGGCTTGCAAAGTTGATGAAAACATGTAAGTGTCTACTTCTGGGAGGTTTTCAATCGTACACATTTTGGTATGGCTCTTATGGTTGCAGACAATCAGCTTGCTTAATACTAATCAAGCATCTGTCAGCACAGGTCAGGCAGTCCCCTGGCCTGTCTTAGATAAGGGTTATGTGCTTTGCTAATTCCTTCTAAGAACTCTTATCTCCTTCACAACTTTCCCTTTTCTTTCTTTTTTCTTTTTCAGTGGAGACTCGTGGAATGTTTGAACCCAAGGGGCTGTATTCACGCGTGCCTGGTCCTTGTTTGGCTGCCTTTCTTTTAAGCCACGATGTCTTCCCAGTATCTTCCCAATCTCCGGTTTCGTCTCCCTGCGCTCCTTCTTCTTTTGGAAGCTGCTTTAATCCTTATATTTGGCTTCTTCGTTTCTTATGACCACAGTCAAAATCTTGCCAGAGACTACCCAGGTAAGGTGGCTTGCTGTCGGGGTTGAAGACTTGTCTTCTGTGGCATTGGAAGGTTAAGTAAAGGCTGGTCCCACAACGAACTTCCTTCTCCGGAAGGGCTCTGTCAGTTGTGTTGCGTATTGCAGCTTCTCAGCTGTGAGGAATTCAAAACTGTTAATTGGGTACAGCCCCAGCTGGGAGGAGAGGTTATAGTGCAGGGGTCCCCAAACTTGGCCACTTGTGGACTTCAACTCCCAGAATTCCTCAGCCAGCTATGCTGGGAGTTGAAGTCCACAAGTCTTTAAGTGGCCAAGTTTGGAGACCTCTGGTATAATGAAACAGATATAGTACACATTTCCTTCATGTCTGTAGAGATTCTCTGTCATCCAGGTCATAGTTGTCCCAAAGGTGCTTTTTCAGGAGGCAACTGGACTTTGTTTTTCCTTTTGAAGACGTTTCCTTCCGGATCCTTCCATTCCCCACTATCCTGTCAGAGCTGAAGAAGCTTCTTGGATGAGAAGCAAAATGTCTTCGAAAAAAAGTCCAGTTGCCTCCTAAAAAAGTGCCTTTGGGACATTTCCTTCCTCTTTAGGTAAAATTGAAGGAGATGCATAGTTGAGTCCCTGAAGAGCATAATCTAGAGATGCCTGGTCCAAATTTGAGGATAGCCTCTGCTCCCCCAAACCTTCAGATTTGGCCCCACCCCGACCTTTTGCCAAATTGCTGACAGATTCTTTTTAAAATGAAGGGTGAAATTACTATTTACTTATATCTCATCTTTGGTTTTTTTAATGATTACTTCAAAATAACAGACATACTTAATACTCCTTCCTCCTCCTATTTTCCCCTCTACAACAACCCTGTGAGGTCGGTTGGGCTGAGAGAGAAGAACTGGCCCAAAGGCATTCTACTGGCTTTCATACCTAATCCTGACTAGAACTCACAGTCTCCTAGTTTCTGGTCTGGTGCCTTCACCATCAGACCTAACTAGAATTAATTGAACCGTATTTACTTCAACTGTTATCTAGTTTTGGTTCTTATTCTGTGTCCTGTCTGCTATTTAAAGTCAAATACAATCCTTGGCCTGAAAGGAGTTTTGTAGGGCTCAATAGTCTGGTTGTGTTAAAGCATTTTCTCTTGCGCTTAGTTAACATGGTAGAGTTTAGATCTGGAGCATAAAGTACCTTAGGGGCGTCTGTTGTGTGATCAAAAATGTCAAAATGATGCTTAGCATCCTGGCACATTTTTTCCATCCAAAAGTCCCAGGTTCAACTCCCTACCTGTGACTGAGCTAAAGACCCCCAAAGCTCCACTCAAGATTAGGAAGCTTCTGATGTGACAAAATTAACTGTTGCTAAAGGAGAAGTAGTGGTTTTAACATCAGGTCATTGGAAAAAGGGAGCCAGATACAATGCCTCCATGCTCAGAAAAACTTGCTTGTTCGAATGGAGCTGCTTTGAAATACAGCAGCACCAAAAGACCTGTGAGAAATAAATATATAAGGGATGTATGACAGTTTGAATGAAATTACAGCTGGACAGCAAATATCCCAATAGTCATTAGATGGCAGCAAATCCTCTTAATGCTTTGCTGCCATCTATTGGCTTTCTGTTACCTTGCAACTCAGATCTGGAACTAATTACAGTAAAAAATGATTTCAGACAATGATAGTATATCATTCTATATCTATGGAGATTCTCAGTCATCCAGGTCATGGTTGACCCAAAAGTGATTTTTCAAGGGGCAGTTGGACTTTCTGGTTTTTCTTTGAAGATGTTTTGCTTCTCATCCAAGAAGCTTCTTCAGCTCTGAAGATCCTCTGATCCTTTGGGATAGTACAGGTAGTCCTCAACTTACAACAGTTTGTTTAGTGACCATTTGAAGTTACAACGGCACTGAAAAAAAATAACGTGTGACCATTTTTCACACTTACGACCATTGCAGCAAATCCATGGTCATGTGATTTACATTCAGATGCTTGATAACTGGTTCATATTTATGACAGTTGCAGTATTTCCCAGGGTTGTGTGATCACCCTTTGCGACCTTCCGACAAGCAAAGTCAGTGGGAAAGTCAAATTCACTTAACAACGGTGTTACTAATTTAACAGCTGCAGTGATTCACTTAACAAATGTGGCAAGAAAATTTTGTAAAATGGAGCAAAACTCACTTAACAACTTTCTCATTTAGCATAAATTTTGTGATCAATTGTGGTCATAAGTTGAGGACTACTATCAGTAGTAAATGCCTATGGAGATTCTCCATAGTAATAGCAGCAGTAGTGATAGTAGTAGCAGCAGCATTTCTGGGGAAGACAACTTGTAGAGAGGCTCATCTTGACTCTTTCCATAAAAGTGATACTTAGCAAAAGCCATTTGATGCATAGCACTGGGTGATTTTACTGGGGGAAGCAAGCCTACATATATTGCAGCTGAGTTCACTCACTTTGATAAGTCATGATATGATTTTGTCTGGTTTTGATTAAATTTCCCATTCTTGGCAACTTCCAAACACCTGGATCCCTCCACCAGTGATGGGATTCACATTTTTTTACTACCGGTTCTGTGGGCGTGGCTTGGTGAGCGTGGCAGGGGAAGGATACTGTAAAATCTCCAGTCAGAGGTGGGATTTGCTGGTTCTCTGAACTACTCAAAATTTCCACTACCGGTTCTCCAGAACTGGTCAGAACCTGCTGAATGCCACCTCTACTCTTCACCCAGAATTACCTTTTCAACTCCTTGTTAAGAAGTTAGTTATCAGATGGGCGGCTATATAAATGTTTTAAATAAATAAAAGTTCAGATATCTAGAAGTTGCTAAAGTTAAGCAAACACTGGAAGTTTTGAAATCTCCCATTGCAGTTTGAGAACCATGCTTTATGACTTAGCAGCCTATGCAAATTGGGCCACTATGATCTCCATGAATCGTGGTTACAACACATTATGGCTTATAGCACAGAGCCTTCTTTTTTGAACGAAGAAGGTGGTATTATGGGAGTGAGTGATGTGTATGTATTTATAAATATGTGCATACATGTAAAGGACAGAGAGCAGTAGGTTCCTTGTCTTTCCTGAACATATATGTGTATAAGGAGGCCCTTTCTACCTGTTAGATGGGGTGCCTAGGATCCAAAACTTGGAAGTCCATGTGTCCTTTGGTTTAAGATCCAATTGTCAGATAGCACCAATCAGTGATTAGATTGATGCGTCACTCTCAGCTGAAGTGGGGAATGATAGACCCTTTACGACCTGGGAACTTCAACTCCCAGAATTCCCGAGCCAGCCAAATTGTCAATGGCCCCTTTACAACTTGGCTGGCTCAGGAATTCTGGGAGTTGAAGTTCAACTTTCCTCACTTCTGCTCTAAACCATGATTTATGAATAAACCACTATGGCTAGGATTACACAGCAAGCTGAGTTGAAACCAAACAAACCTCATTAAGATTCAGTACGATGTGGTGATTAGAGCTGGGTCTCCCAGACGAGGCTCCCCACCAGGCCTCCTTGACACAAGTGTTCTGTCTTCCCTGCAGTATTTCAAGATGTCAGCCTCATGGTGATTTTTGGGTTCGCCTATTTTCTGGCCTTCCTGCACAGATACGGCTTCAGCAGCATCGGGTTCAACCTTCTCCTTGCTGCCCTTGGAGTACAGTGGGCAGTGATCGTCGATGGATTCCTCTTTCACTTCTCCGCTGGGAAAATAAGGATAAATCTGCAAAGGTAGAGATCAGAGGGCATGGAGCTTGGTTTTCTGCCAGGAATTCTGCCTACTTCGTCTCATAGGGTTAAGGGAAAATGGGAGAAAGGAGCATTGGGTACGCTCACTGCCTCGAGTTACCTATAAAAGCAAGCTAAAACTCTTAATTAAAAAAAACCCAGTGATTTCAATAGGAACATCCAACAGGCTGCTCAGGTCTGGAGAAGTCACCTTGTGCATTGCTTTCTACGTTCTGCAGCTGAGCCAGCTCCACTAGGTGAGAATTCCAGCAGGTTTCCTGCTCTTGATCATTGTCTGCAGGGAATAGTTAAAAAGAAAAAGGAAAAAGTGTGGGGGTTAAAAAATGGCTGCAACAGTGCAATCAAAGCTCCACCTGTTTGTTATGTGTAACGTACATTAAAAACAAACAAACAGGCAGAGCTCCAATCTCACCGTTGTAGCCATTATCTTGATTTTTCCTTCCTCGTATCTTTTGGATGCTCCTGGGTTGGGTGGCAGGAAAGCTCAGTGTTATAAGAATGGTGTGGTAGAATGTTAGTCCAGAATCGCAGGAGAAGAGGGTCCTTTCCCAGAAGGCTGAGAGACAGTGAAGTTTGCAATGTCTGGCAGGCAGGAAGAGGGTGAAGGCAGAAACCTCCCTAACAACTCACAAAGAGTTCACCTGATAACAATGCAGATGGTTGCTTTAGGGCGGCAAGATTTCCTTCGATAGGTGAACACAAGAAACTGCAGAGAAGTAACTCCAAGTGTCATTCTCGGTTCCTTGCTTAACAGAAATCTTGCTAGGTGGAAGCAACTATCTGCATAACCAATAGACGTTCAGTGGTGGGATTCAAATTTTTTTACTACGGGTTCTGTGGGCATGGCTTGGTAGGTGTGGCGTGGCTTGGTGGGCATGGTGTGGCGTGGCTTGATGGGCATGGCAGGGGAAGGATATTGTAAAATCCCCATTCCCTCCCCACCCCACTAACCTGCTTTCCAGCTCCGTTCTCCTATGCAGGGCAACCAAAGAAGACCCAGCCCATCAGCTGGGACTCAATGGGAGGCGGAGAAGAGATGGGATTGGCGGGGCCAGTCAGAGGTGGGATTTGCTGGTTCTCTGAACTACTCAAAATTTCCATTACCAGTTCTCCAGAACTGATCAGAACCTGCCGAATATACCACCTCTGTGAATTGCTAGGGAGGGTCAGTCTTCACCCTCTCCTTGATGGTCAGGTATTCCAAGGTCCACTGTCTCTTGGCTCTCTAGAAAGATCCCCTCCCGCCTGGGACTCTGGATTACATCCCATCGCAGATAGTGAATGTAACCGTGATCAAGGATTGAGTCCGAAATGCTTAACACAGATACAGAACTGAGGATGGTATTGGAGGGACTTGGATTCGGTGTCTTTGGTTTCTTCCGAGCCATTTGCTGTCCTCAATAGCTCGAGTAAGGAAACAGATTTGCTCTGATTCATCTCCCAGGGAAGGTGTTTGTGGGAGCTTAAAAAAAAAATCCAGATGGTGGCCACAATCATGCAATCAAGCCCTGCCTGCCTGTCACCAACTTGACTTTTTTTTGGAACCTGCCTGCTTCTTCCCTTGTGGTCATCCCTGAAGAATACCTCCAAGGGTTGAGTTACAGAGAGGCAAAGGAGCCAGTCAGTCTAGAGAATAATCTTAGGAAATTAATTGGTTCTGATTCTTAGAGAACTTGATCTTGACAAATACAGTGCTAAGCTTTAGTATCTTCTATAAAAGAATCCGGCAAGGATATTTTTAAAGAATAACAACCGGCATCCAAGTTAACACACCAATGTATTCACAGCAAACATGGAATTTAATTGTAGACATTAAAGTTATTGTGTACAGAGGAATGCTAACTTCGGTTAATCTTTTATATTGAGCAAATATGTTGTTGTGCTTTTGTTTGAAAACATTACATCACAGACTGAGCAAATCTGCATTCTCCCCCATGTTTCACTGAGTCACATTTCTAAAATAAACAGAATATTTCCAAATTTGGGGAAAGATGTAGCAGCGGCAACAAGGCTAGGTGGGATCTTACATAACAGCAGGATGAGCGTGGCCTCAGTTACAGTTAGATCTTTAAGAATGTCTAAACAACCTAATTGTTCCGAATATAAGCCCCCCCTTCAGATCAGTGGGACTTCTGTTGAGTTTAAAATTGCAGTAGGATTAGCGGGAAGAGATAGAAGACTTCAGCATTCAGTGATTCTCAGTTGGAGATTTGAATTTGCAGAATCCTGATAGGTAAAGATCAGTATTTAGCAACCTCTTATCTTTTATTTCTTCTCGAACTGTCCATTTTCTTAGTTATCAGCTCTGAAGAGACTCAGCACAATGTGTTTAAAGACATGTGTGTTAAGCTACAAATACATTTCAAGCTTCCTGCAAAAGTGCACATTTTAAGAGGGGTTAAAAAAAATGGGGGATAGAGAGACAGAAGGAATTTATGGATCAATACAGATCAAGGAAACCTGGAGGAATACAGGCCAGCTGGAAAACTGACAGCCTAGGTTTGAGACCCGAGAACGCTGCGCGATGAGGTGAGCTCCAGTTACTTGCCCCAGCTCCTGTGTACCTAGCAGTTTGATAGCATACAAATGCAAGTAGGTAAATAGGTACCACTTTGGTGGGAAAGTAACAGCGTTCCATGTGCCTCGGTGTAGAGTCCAGAGGTGGTATTCAGCAGATTCTGATCAGCTGTGGAGAACCGGTAGTGGAAATTTGGAGTAGTTCGAAGAACCGGCAAATACCACCTCTGACTGGCCCCGCCCCCATCTATTCTCTGCCTCCTGAGTCCCAGCTGATTGGCTGGGTCTTCTTTTGTTGCCCTACACAGGAGAACAGAGCTGGAAAGCAGGTTAGTGGGGTGGGGAGGGAATGGGGATTTTACAGTATCCTTCCCCTGCCATGCCCACCAAGCCATGCCCACCAAGCCACGCCACGCCCACTAAGCCACACCCACAGAACCGGTAGTAAAAAAAAATTGAATCCTACCACTAGTACAGTCATGCTGGCCATATGACTATGGAAATGGACAATGGACAATGTTGGCTCTCTTAGATAAGAAACAGATGAGCACTGCCCTCTAGAATCGGACATGACTGAGCAGGGAAATCCTTTACCTTTACTTTATACATCAAGGAGACCCAGAGCATCCTGGCTGGACTTTTGGGATGAACTGATGTGATGTCAGGTGGGTGGAAGAAACAGGAGGTCCAAAGGAGAGGGTCAAAAAAGGATAATAGCCACAACCACGTGATTGAAGCCTGCTCCCTTTTACATCCATAGCCCTCCTTCTATGCCTATAAACGGGGAGTGGGTTTCAGTTGCACAGCTGAAGCCCCCATCTTGCTTTTTGACACCCTCCCTGTGGACATCCCTGGGCAGAAGAAGCCCACTGTGCACTGTCACCATGAGTTCCCGTGCCTCTAATTGCCCCTCTGCAAAGGCCATCATCACTGTTTTCCCCACCTCCGAAGGATGGCTTCCTTCCAAACCGTTGAACCCAAGAGGCAATAGGTTTGATTAAATATTAGCTTTGCACAGGTGCCCATATTATTTATGATTGCAAAATTAATGACCCTGTCTCCCTTTTAATGAGGCACTCCATCTTCTTCCCTGATAGATTACACTCATGCATTTGCCCCAGAATGTGCGGGTGAACGGATTAATGTATGTGCACATCACCGTGAAGGCATCTCCTACGATTTGCCTCTCATCAGTACCATAAACCTTTTTTTGGCGCTTGTAAAAAAAAGAAGAGTCAAATTCCTCTCTGTTCAAAACAATCCCAACAATGCCTATAAACTGTTATTTTTTCCCCCGTTTAATGATCTCATCTTAGGCCTCACAAGACAAAATGATCTCTTTCATGGTCAAGAACCAAATGTAAGGTATAGAATGAGATGATGAGGGCTGCTTGTGGATTGGGGCGGTGGAGGGATTCGAAATTTTTTACTACCAGTTCTATGGGTGTGGCATGCTTGGTGGGTGTAGCGCGGCTTGGTGGGCGTGGCAGGGGAAGGTTACTGTAAAATCTCCATTCCCTCCCCACTAGAGGTGGTATTCAGCAGGTTCTGACCAGTTCTGGAGAACCGGTAGTGGAAATTTTGAGTAGTTCAGAGAACTGGCAAATACCACCTCTGACTGGAGATTTTACAGTATCCTTCCCCTGCCACACCCACCAAGCCACGCCCAGAGAACCGGTAGTAAAAAAAAAATTGAATCCCACCACTGCGAGTCCCCACTCCAGGGGAAGGATACTGCAAAATCACCATTCCCTCCCCACCCCACTAACCTGCTTTCCAGCTCCGTTCTCCTGTGCCGGGCAACCAGAAAAGACCCAGCCAATCAGCTGGGACTTGGGAGGTGGAGAATTGATGGGGGAGGGGCCAGTCAGAGGCGATTTTGGCCGTTTCTCTGAACTACTCAAAATGTCTGCTACTGGTTCTCCAGAACTGCTCAGAACCTGCTGAATATACCACCTCTGGATTGGGGCAATGATGGCTGAGAGTGTACTTAGCTAAGCCATTTTAAACATTTCCCCGTAACTTTGAGGGAACAATATTCCTCCAAATCCAAAATTCTTTTTTACACTTAGCAGTGTTTGCAAACATTTTTTTTTTGCTTCAATTGGGCAGTCATTTTCGAAAATAAGTGTTCTGATTGATCAGGGGCACTGTGACATTCGTTACACCAATATAGCGACTTATTGATTTATTGTGGTTACAGGTTTATCACAGCTTTGCAATCTATGTAACACTTATGTTATTAGGGCTCTTAATTCTGTAAATACACTTCTAAGGGAACATGTGCAGTGTTTCTCAATCTCGGCACTTTTAAGCTGGACTTCAACTCCCAGAATTCCCCTGGCTGGGGAATTCTGGGAATTGAAGTCCACGCAGGTTAATGGTGCCCAGGTTGAGAAATATTGCCTCAAAGGCACTCACCATGGACACTCATTGAGAAAACCACTGTAGGGAAAGCAGAAAACTATCTAGATCTGATTGGAAAAGAATCTCACCATCTCATAACATCCTGCTGATTTTCCCCCCCTTCTTTCTCTTTCTTTCTTCCCACCAGCATTTTAACTGCCATTATGAGCATCACCGCAGTGTTGATTTCAACCGGAGCAATACTTGGCAAAGCCAATCTCATGCAGTTGATCTGGATGGCTATGATAGAAGTGACCGTCTTCACCGTCAACAGATGGCTGGCTGTGAATCTTTTGCAGGTAACAAAGCTGTCCCTTTGGCAGAATGTATTCAAAACAGTGGCCTAGTTCAGGGGTCTCCCACCTTGGCAACTTTAAGACTTGTGGACTTCAACTCCCAGAGTTCCTCATCCAGCAAAGAAGTCCACAAGTGTTAAAGTTGCCAAGGTTAGAGACCCCTGGCCTACTTCCCGTATACCGTAAGTGACTAGTCAGATTAAGGTATCATGTGGGCAACTTGATTTTGACTTTGTGTACAATGTAAACAGGATACAGGTAGTCCTCAACTTACGACCACAATTGAGCCCAGCATTTCTGTTGCTAAGTGAGACATTTGTTAAGTGAATTTTGCCTCATTTTTGTGCCCCATTTCTCTCACCACATTTGTTAAGTGAATCTCTGCAGGTCTTCAATTGGTAACCTGGTTGGTAAGTGAATCTGGTTTCCCCATTAACTTGGCTTGTCTGAAGGTCGCAAAAGGGGATCATGTGACCCCAGGACACTGCAACCGTCATAAATGTGAATCGGTTGTCAAGCCTCTGAATGTAAAATTTATGACCATGGAGATGCCGCCATGGTCATAAGTGTGAAAAATGGTTGTAAGTCACTTTTTTCAGTGCCGTTGTAACTTGGAACGGACAATAAATGAATTGTTGTAAGTCGAGGACTGCCTGTGTTGTAATTTGTAAGCTGTGAGCTGCAGTTTATGATAAGAGGGCAGGAATAGTGGAATTGTAGATGAAATTTACTTTTACCTTTCAACGCTTACATATTTTTGGAAAGGGCAGAAGGAAGGCATATCCTAGATGTGGGAGGGACAGATTGGCTGGCTAGCTGGAGCTTTCTTTTTTATATATCTTTATATTTATTGTTCTTTTTCAAACTTTAACACACATTAATCTTGACTTTAACAGTATTGTGTCATCATTATTATACAAATTATTCTGCACATCAGTCTCATACAAGTATCTACAAAATAGCTGGAGCTTTCACATGGTCACATTTTATTATAGATATGGAATGTTTTCAGCTTCTCTCCCCCCGCCCCCCAAAAAAAATAAATCAAAAATCAAAGTCATAAGCACAGGGATCTTGCACTAATAAGAAAAAATGCTCTGGGCGTGATTTAACATGTTAAAGGAGCCAGCCAGGGTGGACTAGAAATCGTAATTGATGACTTAGTTATTGTGTTTGTTAAACCCAGCAGCTTTAAGCCCTGTGGACTTCCACTCCCAGAATTCCCCAGCCAGCATGGCTGGCTGGGGAATTCTGGGAGTCGAAGTCCATACTGTTTAAAACTGCTGAGGTTCAAAAACACTGTAGCAGAGAATTAATTTAACATGCCCAGGGGAGCAATTCCCCCCTCCCAAAAAAGATTAATCACCCCATCAGAGGTTTCCTGCCTTATATTCAGTCACTGCAGTCTGGCACATAGAAACCCACCCTCCATCTTGACTGCATAGGCAATGGCGACTGCTTTTGCTGTCCACAGATCGAGAGCCACGTCAGTGTGATGCACGTCCACTTGTTTGGGGCCTACTTTGGCCTAATGGTCTCCTGGACGCTCTACCACTCCTCATTGAGTCGGAAAGCTGAGAAGGAAAGATCCAGGCCCATCTCGGATATGTTTGCGGTGCTGGGTAAGCAGTCTGCTTTAGGCAAGAGAAAAGGTCAAATGGCGTCCTTCCTGAGGCTGAAACGAACGCATGCCCACCAAATTAGGAGGTTCCTGTGTTGGCCAGCTGTATGGCATCCAGCGTAGGACATATATTGCTCAGCAGTTGGCATTTGACTTTTGTCTCTTATTTCAGCATGACTCTGGCAATTTAGCTGCTAACACAGAGAGATGTATTGATAGTGATGGTGACTCAGTTCCTCCTTTTATGGAGGACATTAGATCTCTTCCAATCTGGATTCAGGGCCACTTCTCAGAATTGAGATTGCCTTGGCGCTTGGATCCTCCAGAGGCTGTTGGTGGAAACCCAGGTGCTTGCAAAAAACTAAGGACCACTCTCCGATCGTTATCCCGACTTAAAAAGGAAATATAAGAATAATAGGGAAGGGGCATTCCGCAAAATAGTGTACAAGTAGCTGTCGACTTAACTATCATTCATTTAACAACCATTCAAATTTCCAACAACATTGGAAAACATTGAAGAATAGAATAGAATAGAATAGAATAGAATAGAATAGAATAGAATAGAATAGAATAGAATAGAATAGA